GCTTCAAATATAGTGCGGGCATCCCATATCCCCATTCTTACTTTCGCTTTCATCGGGAGAGAGAAGATACACCGGCCAATTGACTTCCCGAAGGCTTTCACCAACCGGCGTCATTTCGTCTCTCCGATTCCAGCGAGGAATTATTTTGTTTGTGCTTTGAAGTTTGTTTAGCGATTGGATTGGCTTTCCAGGGTAGGGTTGCTAGCCCTATGCCCAACCTTTCCTCTTTATCCGAGCTTAGGACCGGCTAGTAACTAGTGAACTTGTTAACCAGGCGAGGCTTTTTTATTATAATGCAAATTTTTAAATACAAAGTGCACCCATTTGATCATAGGTAAAGACAAGACGTGGTTTCATGAAAGATATGTTTTTCTTTTCAACGAATTCGTTTACTGAGCTTTACATATTCGTGATTATATGTTACAGTAGGTAGAACATTCCAGAATTGTTGAGCTGTTTACGGCTTGAGCACTATGCAGAAATTCATCGTTAGGCATGAGAAATCACCAGTTAAAGGAGTGGAATGTATAATAACAGGTAAAAAATCTGTTTGGATGTTCGATTTTGCAAATGATTGATAAATTGTACATAGTTTGTTTTCAACTGCTCATGAACTAGCGAAGGTTAATAACTAATGAACAACTTGCCGAATTTAAGCTCATTCAAGTTGATCTGTAATTTTCCACCAGCCAGGTCAGATTGATCTAAACAACGGACAACCGTTTTGCTTGTTTCAGCTGAGCTCATAAGCGGTATACCGAGATTACTAACTACTTAAGTTTTTATTAGTGGTATGTTTCAATAACTTGACTTCTTAGTTGACGAAATCGCTGGGAGAATCAAGTTCAAGCTGAAAACTACATTGAATAGGAAGTATCCTGCTGTCGAATTGACCTATTTCTATAGAACTCTTGTAGTTGAAAATCCACTTCATCAAAGAATAAAGTAGTATTTAGGTTTAAACGTCATAGGAATAAAAAGTGTTTCGGGAAAGTGAATGAGAAGGTTACTTATGAATACACAGTTTTAAATGGCAAAGGCTTCAGCAGTGCCAAACAGGCTTTCCCTTACACTGTTTGGAGATAACTGTTTTATTCTGTCGAATACGCTAAAGTTATATGATCGTTGTTAATTGAGTTCTGTAAGATGTAATTATCTATACATAGCCATTTATGAAGCTTTCGTAATCGGAATCGGACAATCTGTTTCTATCTGACTCCATAAAGGCAATGGTATTGCTATGTGGACATAAAAGTGGCCGATATCGACAGGTTTTCATTGACCCGAATGCTCACTACCGAGTGACTAGTTTAACTAATGTACAGAGTAGTTGTGTGACTGATAGTTATCCACTTTCTCTGGAACTCCTCAAAAGAAGCTAAAAGGTAATGAGTGTATGAGATCTACTGTCTGCTGTTGTATCAAGTTAGTACAACTACAGAATTTCGGAAGAACGAGAACCAACTAGATTTCTTTTACTGTCAAAAATATAAGGCTGAAGAAAGTAACCACCTGTTTATATAATCTGAATTCTGAAAAAGCAAGTCTTTCAATGGCCTGTAATCTCTTTTCGTTGATCAGACGTTGAAGGATGGTGAATTTGAGTTACTTTCCATTTTCACAGTAGAAGTGACAAAAAAATGATATCAACAGAATACTCGCTAAATTTATATACATACATAAGGGGAAATAAAGGTGATCAGAAGAGTAAGGTTTTAACTATTCGGCAACTTTGTCAAATATTGTCGTTTTCATCTTGTTTTAATTTGCTTGCTTATGGCTAGCAGTGAAGTAAGAAACGAACATTTCGTCCCATTTTGGACTCGCCAGCTGCATGAACCTGCATCCGAGTAAGTGATGCTCTTCTCAGTGAGACTCACACCTGAATCCTAGCCCTTCAAACATCAGGATTATAACCACTAAACTACTGAATCACTGGGAATGACAACATCCTTTAGAATTAGGGCAAATATACATCCTATTGCCAACGTCTTTCTAGAAGTAGAATGTGTTGTCTAAGCTCAATTCTATGGCGCATCTGTGTATTATGAGGAGCCTCCTAGGATGCTTCATCGCTTTCCCAATGCTTGTTTTATTCAGGTTAATATTACAAATCCTCAGTGGAGAATTCGGACACTTGGAACACTTGTGAATAACAAAATAGCACTAAATGGTGTCGTGGTATTGTTCTAAACCTTGACGTAACTTTCTGAACTGACTAGGTCAAATCTATTACGTGACCTACTCTATTATAACTTTCAGTATGTGGACTAATCATTTAGAAAGGAACTAATACGGTGAACCATGCATTTCTAGAGTTAGGTGTGATGGTAAGTTAAGCTTATGAGTTTTTAGAGTCTTGTATTGACGGGAAACAGTTGGTCAAGACGGTCTCTGTATTTCATTTAACTGAAAGGTAATTGCATATTCATTCGCCACAGCATAAATAATACAGTGGTAACTCACTTGATAGTAATACTGTGTGGGTTGGGTTTAAAATAGGTTTAAAGATTCACCTTACTTCAAAGCCATAAGAAGTTAGTAAAGTTTCCGACTGTCTCTCACCTTGGACCAAATGATTATGTCCGGAATTTGAGCGAAAGACTTAATTATTTCTGCGGTAAAAGTGTTGTAAGATGTAGACAAACATTACTAACAATAATTTATTCATTCGCTAGAATTGAATTAAATTTCGAAGAATTCATGAACATATCTAATCCTAAAGTAATCTGCAACTGGTTTATAATTTAGTTAAACTTTTATTAACTGTACAGAGCATCTTCATTTGTACGTGTTAACTTTATGTCTCAGTTTGAGAAACAGTTTTTATTTTTACGCATCGGTTCGAAGTCATATGTATGATAGAGTAAGACCGGTTAACAAGCAGTAGCTAGTAATGATGTGTAGCGGCTAGCAGTGGAATCCAGAAAACGTGTTTCGTCCAATTGAGGACTTGTCAGCTAGATGTATCTGCCTCTCATTGAACGATTTTGTTCTCAGGACCGACCGCTTCAGACGCCAGAGCGTTCTTCATTAGCTCACTAAGTTGTAGTAGCCACTGCTCGTGCGACGGGTATAGTTTTGATGTTATTTGATGAAATTGTGAGCAATTACATAAAATCTTACTTGGTTTTCATCAAAGCTGAAGTAACCACCTAAAAATCGCTACTTTGGAGAAAGGAATGTATTAACAAACAGTATCATTCAGGAACTTGACTTTCTGGTGTCAGACAAAGCTGAATCATACAGTTGCATAATAGATTTACCTTCTGGATGACATAAATCTGATAGAATACGGATATTATTGATACATATCAGAAGTATGCCAGAAGGTTTAGAAATGACGATTAGTTCTGTACTTAATCGACCTTAATACCACAAATACATGGGGTGTCTTGTGTGGTTGAAAGAGATGCAGTCTGATTAGTTACTAATCACTAAGCTTTAGAGTACCAGCCCATTTAATTCAACCTGTCTAGTTGTTAAGTTACACTGTTGACCAATTTTAACACTGACTAACTTAAAAAAGTTTGTATATAGAAAGAACTTTATGCACTGAAACTTGATGAAATATTAAACCCTAAAAATCTTCTGTTGACTGCTTTCAAACATTGATCCGAAAATGTAATCAGGTAGTTGAATAACTTATTCTAGAATCAGAGGTCATTGACATATGTCAGTATGCAGGGAGTTCAGTTCCATGAAGATATGTGGTTTAATTCTAAAGGTGGTGTAAATATTACTTCAATGCAGGTAGTTCTTCTTTGCAGTGGATTTTCGATGGCTGTCTGTGCCACAGCATTAGCTTTTGAAAAGTTCCTCGCAGTTAGGAGGAAAGCTATGAAAGCATACTTGAAGTTTAGCTGCCTGTATGTTTGATAAGATGCGAATGATGAATGTCTGGTGTTCTCCAACCTTGGAGCTTTGATCTTAAGCGTTTCACCATTAGGCTTGGCAGAAGCATCAGAATTTCATTCAAGTGAATACTAATTCATCATGTGGAGTTGTCTTCAAGGACTGGTATCGGTTGTTTACATATGTTTCACGCGTATCTTCATAATGGGTTTCATATCAGTTACCACTTTTCTGACCTGCTATTCCTTGAAAAGAGCAAACAGATAGACATTTCTTCACATGATGAAACAAGGTAAAGGAATAGTTGTGCTTCACTGATATGTATTGGGACTCCTGAGCAGTACGCAACCATAATCTCGCCAAAGATCGAGGTTAGCACCCTCACATCTCGTGGTGAACGCGTTAACCATTCAGCCACTGGGTCGAAAACAGTGCTCCAGAGTTTTCCACTTCTGACAATTCGCTATATAACACGAATATCCACCAAAATCTGGAATTTACACCTGTCTCACTTTCGACTAGTTGGCCCCAAAGAACATGGCTTCTCATCAGAACACCTGGATATTCATGTTGAAGCATTTCACTGATGAGCAGTCTACAGTAACATAGTTTGGGGTTTATGAGGATTTCATTCTAAGATAGTGTTCAACACTGGTTGATATCAGTTAGAAAACAATTGAAAATCTGGTTCCGTAACTGATGACAGTCTCCGATGAATCGTAAAATATCAGTTGAGTAATTAGTTACCTAGTGTGGCTAGTTAGCATTTGGTCACTTTTCAGGCTTTATTTATAAACTCATTAGTCAAATTAGTATTTCCTTAACAATAAAATAGACTGCTAGTAAAAGTCACTGTATAGTGGTGATTCATGGTAATCTTATTCACTGTCAATCTAATAGGTTTTTTCATTGGGAAAAAGCTCATCAAAGAAAACAAGAGAGAAAGATAAAAATTTACTGTATGCATTTAAGTTGATGTATTGAATATTAATAAGGTTATTAAACGCATGGAATTCATACACTCTACCTTCTTGTAACAACATCTAATCATTGTTGATTGTAAACTTATCATCATTTGAAAATAGTTCATATCAGGAAAAGAATAAATTCTTCTACTATCAGATTTTTTTTGTTTTTTTTATTTTGTGAGGAAAAAAGATTCATAAAATACTTATCCTAAAGTGAAAGGTAAATTTACAATAGCAGAACTAAGAAATGCTCATGATGGTCATATATTCAAAGGAATTATTTTATCGAAATTTACATATACTACTGAATAGTAATAATAGTAGTCCTATATTACCTAAAATAATATCTTTATTATTCTGTACGCAGGTTCTACAGGTGTATAGCATAAGGAAATTACATGTGTTTAACTAACGATGGATATATGTATGTATCTGATTATTGTAGAAGTTAAGGGGAATGATTTTTTACCACTGATGAAAGAAATCACAGTAATTCCAGCTGTCAATACTACTAGAGGTAGCCAAATTAGTAGTACTCGACTATAAATATCATAGTTTAATACAAATAGAATATTAGAAAACACAGAAACAGCTTCTTTTCCCTTGCAGTTCTTATTTGATTAATCTTTTGAAAAAAATTTTCAATCATTTCAAAAATTCGTTGATGAAGGGGATAATGATGATCTGTGATTGATTTATAATATCCCTGTATTCAGTGAATTGTCAAGAATTTTAGACATTAGCAAAGATAAATGTCGATTACTATTAGTATTATTATCATTATTGATAGAATTTCTTCCAATCAAATTGTAGTTATTGGATATGGTACGACTTGTTTTAGTTATATCTGCCATGGTTAGTGAATTGCCTGGAGATGATGTCAATTTCTGCATTGGAGGTGGGACGACGCTATACGGTGGTATGCATGAGTGATTCACGTTGAACACTGGTTGACTGTTAAGAGTTTTAGGATGAGAGTTTAATAAATCTGGTGATAAAAACAAACTGTTATTATTATTATTCCTTTCATTGAATGCAGGTAAATGCTTAGACAATTCAGAATTCGATGATATTTTCCAGGGATTTTCTTCATCAGTTATATAATTACTGTTAGATAGGTAATTCAACTGAGAATTGAGACTGGAAACTAGAAACTTTTTGTCAGATGAATATTTATTGTTATCAACCATAAGAGAAGATTGTTGATGAATTGGAGAATGAAGATTTCCACCTGATAAATTACTCAACTTGTCACTATCTGTATTTAACTCTCTTTTAAATGAATCGAAATTTCCGATGTATTTCCCTGGCTCTCCTTTATTGACTATTGTCATGGTTGTGGATGATGATGATGATGACGACGATCCTGTTAGCATTGTGTTCATAAAAGTACGTGATCTAGTTTTTTTTGAATAGTTTACTTTAAAGTTTACGGAACCATTTTGATTTCCTTCACCTCCTTTAGTTACTGAAGTTGTTGCATCTTCCGCTACCGCTGCTGCTAACCAAGACTGAATCCATTTCCCTGTAGAATTTTGTCGAAACAATTGTTTATGGCGTGCAATATAATGTGTACCTAATAAATGCCTTGCATGCGTGCACTTACGCATATGCTTTTCCAAAGTAGATGGTACTATGAACGGTGTGTGACAATATTTACATAAATATCTAGGTTTACCGTCTTTACCATGGGTTTTCATATGTCTTGTCAGTTTAGACGATTGTGCACAAGCATAATTACACAATTTACACTGATATGGTTTCTCGCCTGTATGACTACGTCTGTGTACTGTTAGATTACTGCAATTCTTAAATATTTTGCCACAATATTCACAAGTATCATTACGTTTAGTATCACGTCGTGGTGTAATTGAGTTACCTGATGATGCTGACACTTTTCGTGAGAATTTTGCAGATGGTGATGGAACAGCTGATGATGTCGATGGGAAGGTTAGATTATCTGATAGAGAAATATCGACAGGTGATGGTAGCTTTTTTGAAGACGAGTATTTGAAACGATTTGATGTATTGTTACTATGGGCAACACCACTATTATTGAATATTTTGACACCAGATGTCAGACGAATTGGGTTTGAACTACGGTGCGATCGTGCATGCCTGCAGTTTCCTGGAGGTCTGTGCTCATGGTCACTACTACTCAACTGGTTCACAGTATATGGTATATTAGATGATGCTACATTCTGAATACTACCACTAATATGACTAGTATCGTTTGTGATGCCATGAGGAAAACAATGTGACTTTTTGAACAGATGATGTTGACTGGCCGTTTGCATACAATTCCTCTCATTCATGTTATCATCGTTAGTGTGGTTGTAAAGGCTTTGTCTTAGGGATTCTTTCTGAGGTTGTAGAGGTATACTGGGTGGAAAATTATCAATACAGATCAAATCTATTCCATGTGGTGGTGCATCATTATCCCTTGATTTCACTTTATTCTCAGACGATATGTGTTCAGACACCTGAAACATTTTAATTCTCTCAAGGTCCCTGTCATCAAGGATATTATTTTTATTACTACTACTAGTAGTATGTTTGACATCACCGGAATTGATTGACTTTGCATACTTTTCTGGAAAACGGAAGTCATTTTTCATTAGAAGTCCTTTCTTAATGGACTCTTCTATGAAACTTCGAAAGTTATCCGGATAAGTAGTTATATTATTATCTAACTCTTGTGAGTTCGAGAGAAATTTACCATAGTTATTACATGTGTTATCAATATTAAATGAATTTGTTAGCTTCGGCTGGGGATATGCTACTGTTTGTGTATTATCAGTAGTATGGTTGATGGTATTTTTATAATTAGGAGCATTCATTATTGGTACTTGGTGCTGTAGACAGTGACGCATTATTTCTTCGTAATAATAAGTTAAGTAATACTGCAGAAAGGTTTCACGGAGTTGTGGTTGTAATGGTTTATCGTGGTCATTTGGAGTTTTATTCATGGGGTTTATATTGATTTGATTTACATAGTTTGATGCTCCATTACATTTTATCAGTGGCGGTGGTAATGCTGATGATGATGATGAGGGATATGATACCGGCATCTGAATAATATTTCTATGATTTGTTAAGTTTGTGCAGTTATTTAAAGTTTGTGTGCTTAGTTCATTACTTTTCTTTGCAACAGATATTTGTTTTAATGAGTTCGATGAAAGTGATGGCGGAATTTTCGATTTATGGTCAATAGAATGATAAAAAGAATTATTAAACTGGTTAGATCTGTTTGAATGACTGATTTTGTCAAGTTGACTGTTCCTTACTAATGACTCATAACTAAAACTTCGGAATTTCAATAGTGAATTGGTGAAGTAATATTCATTTGGAAAAGTCGGTGCTGCTGCTGCTGATGATGATGATGTTGATGATGTTAGTGATAACGATAAAGGCATGATAACTGATGGACAACTTTTACATCGACTTACTATTGAGTGTTTATATTGGTTATTATTCAGTTTATTTATATTGGATACACTTTTTTTTCTCTTTTTATTACGGAGGACTTTAGGAGTTTTATTTGGTTGCTCGGAGCTGCTGGAACATTGAATTTGGTTGGCCGTGGTTACATTTTGAGTGATACCTATCCCACTTGAGGATATAGGAGAATACTGTGTGTTGAACACATTCTTGAGCTTATTATCTTTATTCTCAGATAAATTTGTAAAATGTGTAGTTTGAGGCTTGTTATTATTAATATTACTACATGAAACTCTATTTAGTATTTTTGAATACATTAGATTGTATAGTTGACCATAAAGCAACCAATTCAAAGATGGATCATTTTGTTTTGGTAAAGATAAATTCGATTGTATATGATCATTACTAGTTGGATAGCATATTGGTGTATTACTACTGTACAATGGAATATTCGATTGTATATTCTGTGTATTAATCTCTGTTGAATTGAGCATAATATTAGGATATTTTCTTGAGTTTTGAGATTTATTCAATGGTAATGGAATAGAAAATGCAGATGAATGGTCTTCAACCAATGAATCTGTGAAAGAAGGATATCTAGTCATTGGATTTGATCGATTCGATCTGTATAAAATGCAAAAGTATGAAGATGTGGATCGGTTATAACTAAGAAGTGTGATTAAAACAGACAATAGATGAATTTGTCAAAATTGCAGTCATAAATACTCCCAGTTGTATGCTATGCTTATTGATTGGATACATTTTAATTCTTAGTGTGAAGAATGAATGATTTGACTTTCATTGTGATAAGGTTAAAAAAAAAGTGAAAATAATATCACAACTGTTCCACGCAATGGGTTTCATTTCTCGATAAGATCACTAAACTAAAATTTGATCATCCTAATCGTTTAACACATATTTGTAGTTGTTTTATCCCTTTTGGAGGCGATGCTTTTAAGTTAGAGATTGCCACATTCGTCTAGATATAGACTTACCAATGAAGTGACACTGGATAGAACATCTAGAATGGAGTTAGTAGAGCTGTATTCATGGAAAATCTATGTTGGAGGACAAGAAAGTAATCAGACTGTTTATAATTTGAACAAAATATATCTACTATTTTATCCGATAGACTTCTACCATTCTTGAAAAGGTAAACGGTCTTGGTCTTTTATGGACTTAGAATAACTATATTTTCTGCTGTCCTACGAATCATGAGTGACAACAGCCGAAGGTGAAAAAACTTGTAATAGAACTAAAACTTAGTCTGTTTGTAATGGCTCAAGGTCTTCAGGAGGTTTCATGTATCAACCGCTTCATAAGAAGAATTACACCGAATGTATCATTCCGTGTACTGTACTGTGCTATACTGTAATTGAAGATCATTTAGAAGGTGAAGTCCTCAGGTTGATCAAAAAAGTAGTTGCTCATTAAAAAACAGCATTTCTGTTATTCTAGTGATCAGTAGTTGAAATGGTTTCTTTAGGTGTGTTACCGTTGATCATAGTGGTATAATGTCTAGCGAAACTGTCATCAAAGAGGAACTACAAGTTGAATATTTAGACCACTGTCTATACCAAGTCAAAACGAAGCACACTTGAATTGGCTGCATTGTACAAATCTAAGAAATCAACATGATCATGGTAAATATTTATATACATGGAGTCCATAAGAATAATTCACTTTCTTCGATCAATAAGGACGCATTGAAAATATGAAGCTACCGAAGGCATACGGAAATACCGGTTAATGTAGCGCTAACGTTTATTACAAGATATTTTGTGAATATTTTTGTTTCTGAGTTACTAAAATAGAATCTAATAGTTAGTATTATTATGCTTTATATACTGGACTTGGTTACTTTTAAATATCAGTGATTCTTTCTTGTCGGTGTTAAGTGTTTCAATATTTCATCATTTTGTAAATGATAATACAATATATGAATAGTGAAGAATATTTGAAGCTCAGGTGGATGGTCTTGGTTATATTGTGTTCTCTAAGATGGGTTGTTTAGTCATACAGCTTTCATCATCTTTCCAGACGACGTCATCAGCACTAACTGACTTCATACTCAAGTTAATGCTGATGATGTCGGTGACAGTGAAAGCTTCACGATTAAACAACCCAGTTCAGAGAACACAATACAACCTGAACAATATATGAATGAATCTCAACTAGTGATGATAGGAAGTGACCTGAATGGAAATCAATATTTCAAGTTATCAGCTGGTAAAATAGTTTTCAGTTTCAATGTGTGTTTCATGTCCCTGTATGGTCAGGAAAAACCTTATTGGGTAATTTATCCTACAGCTAACCAATCAAAGTAAGTTATTTAACTACTTCTGACCTAGCAGTTTTATATGGTCATGAAAAATGTATATAAATGATGCATTTTTATGGAATAAAGTGTCTTCCTTACTGTTACAGGTCGGTTTGTGCCTGCTGATTTTCGTGGCTAAGTGATGTATAAGGTCCTGAAGGAGAACATTTAGATGACCATTCAAAATTTCACCTTATGTATCCATTTTAAATTTACCAATTTAACCCTGTTTGTTGTGAGTATATGATGTAGAGGAATTTTTTCTCCAAGATTTGATAAATAAACCTTCTGGGACATCCATTATTTAATAGTATTCTCTTATAAAACTAAAAGACTATTATTACTTATACTGTTTTGAACTAGTCTTTAGAATTCTGGAATTCATCAAGTACACTAGATTTTTCTTTCTGTCTAAAGATAACCAACCAACTATTAGATCTATTGGAATTTTCAATTCATACTATTTTTAGGGAAAGTTATCTTTGCAGCAGAGTGTTATTCCACCTATTCAGTATCATATCTACAAAATGATAAATGGGATTCGACTTCTTTCAAATTGTGGAACTTATAGATAGAGGTAAGACCACAGTATTGTTGAATTACAGTTAGTTTGTTCTTCTTGACTTGTTTTTTATAGTAATCTACAGGATTAACTTGAAATACGATAAATGTCAAGGTTTTCGGTAACTTTGTCTAGCTGGGTCACTAACAGTACATAATCACCAGCGTTTGATCCAAAAAAAATGTTCTGGATAAGTCCTTCGTCCTAGTAATGCTTTACTGTGAACTTTTATATCCATGGGTGTTAACCTGATGTTCTTTGGACACAATTATATGCATGTTATCCTTGCATAGAACAATGTTTCATTTGGTGTATAGACTTTTCTCCATGAATTGTTTCGTTTCTCCCCATCTTCTTCTGTGATTTACTTCATTTCTCCCTTTTGTAATTTTTTCTCTTTATGTCTGGGTCATATAGTTCTGATTTCAGTTTTATGCTGCCTTTTTTACCAATGATATTTTTCTCCCTAATAATTGTTGTTGACAGTTGATGGTTATGATGAATGCTGAATTTTCATGCTTTCAACCAATATTATTGTCAATAAAGTATACTTACACAAAAGAGAAATAGTAGTAGTGATAGTAATAGGATTCTGTCGGAAGAATTAGGTCATTATAGAAGGAATTCTACAAACTATAAATACTGACAATCAGTATATTTATGATGACAAAGGAAGATAGTAATCATAAAACTTTGAAATATTTGAAGATTGATGCGTGATCATGTCATATTTATCAAGGGTACATAATCATCTCCTATGTGTTTTTGCTGCTACCGCTGCTACTGCTACTGTTGATGATGATGATGACTAGGTCAATAAAGTTTATTGCTCTTGAAATATACTACTTAAATCGGTATTATTCAAAGTTATCTAGAGAAGAATCGTTACAAAATATTCACACAAAGAGAAAAGGTAGTTGAAGATAAATAAGTAAGCAAACAGAGTACTCTATACTCTTTGTGTTTCCTAGATTGAAGCGCGGTCAAAATGTCTACGAGAGCAAAACATCTGATAAATTAAATTTCGCAAAAGTGATATGCAAATATTTATAAAAACTGGAATTGATTCAATGTTTTAAAATCCCCTTCTTTTAAAGATTAATTTCATTGTGACCTTTAAATGGAAAGGGAGTTTCAAATAGAATCACTTGTAAAATAACTGAAGTGTTGAAGGAAACCGGATGGACAAAATAGATACAACCATGTACAGACAGATCACCTGATAGTAACCGATAGAACTGTCCTAGTTAATAAATGTTGATGAAATTCTGTCGACCGTATGGTCTATTGGCTAAGTTATACGACTCATTACTGTACATAGTTTCGTGTTGTGTTTACGGCGCCTATCGGGAAGAAAGAAAGCATCTCTTCGACACTGACGAAACAGGAGTTAGCTCGATTAATCTAATGCGTGCCACTTAGTGATGAACTTCAAAATTTTACTACCATGCTACTCAGGTCAAGACAAACTGACTAGATGATAACATTCAAAAGAGGCAGCAGTATAGGTCTTCTCCTAGAAATGTCTTAATCCATTGCCAACCATTTTAACGCCACATAAACGTGAAATTAAGAAGAATAAAATCATATCGTAATCGTAGTTTTTTGAGGATTGATTGGTTTCAATTAAGTTTTCATCAAGAACTGAAACCAGTCCAAGAGCCATTGAAAACTATATTTCCCTAAGTTCTACTGAGAAACTGTAACCTGTAAGGTTGATCACGTTCGGTTTCAGAAAAAATACCGATAAATGTAGATGATAGTCGCATTGTTTCGCAAATCCACAGAAGTGGAAGAATAAACACCATGCCCATTGGCTGAATTGTAAGGTGCTCACTGTGAGAGCCAATGGTCTTGGCCTCAACTCCTGACGAAGTTATGAATGCTTTTAAGGATCATTAAGGTGATTGAAGTCTTGATGTTGATAAAGAGAAAATTTAGTGGATTCATTTTGAAACCAAAGTCTGAAGTCATAATTATCAAAATGTCGGCCCTATTCGGTCTATACTTTTATAAAGATTCAGATCTGGAGTCAGTTGCTTAGTGAATAGTTGCCACCTTTTACTTGCTTATTTCGTATTTCTTTTGCTGTAAGAATTCTTAGTTGGCAATGAAGCAATGTACTACCCATATCTTTGGTATTCTTTCCGGTAGTATAATAGGTCGATTCAAAGTATGAATTACACTTAACTGGTTTAATTTGAGACTCAAATGCTACGACTTTTATACCGCAAGAAGTCGTATGTGTTCACAATCGAAAGATCACTAACCAAGGTTGGGCAACCTCTGTATTTAGGATAGTTGTTGTTTTTAAGCTGAATGAAAGTTCGAGCAAATAGTAGGATTCCAAGATATGGCTTCAATGTTGCACACCCGATGTTCTAATGACTGAGTTACTATACAAAAAGACCAGACCCTTATTTCACTTCAATCATGGAGGAGTTTGTCAGGTTATGCGGTGTGCTGTGTAGGATTTAAGAATAACTATGTTTGTCTATACCTAAAATTTATCTCAATAAATGCAAAAGAATCCCTTCATTGCCTTAACCAATGATGGTAAAACCAATACAGGGTTATTACTACGCTTATTCGGTGTAATATCCATTTTGTGACTCATCACTGCTTACTATTAGCTCTTTTGACAAAATTTATCAAAGGAAGGCATTAATTAATTAGAAAATATAAATCGGATTATTTGACTCCCAAAACTGACATTTTCACCTGTGTTTCAGTAGTTTTTAA